TGTGTGGTCTTGGCAGGAGCATGAGAAGCTCCTGTTCCAGGTTAAATAGTTTTTAAGATTATGACTAGTATTGTATTTGTGGCAGTTACGTTGCACATGTGATTTTAGCAAGAGCAGTTCTGTTCTCTTAGGGATTCTGACAAGTTTGTTTCTTAATTCTACACAAACCCGTGCTCTCTTCTGAATCTTTGTTTTGTTTGTTTTTTTTTTAGTTCAACAGACAAAATGAGTGAAAAGCTGAAGCTTTCCAAGACCAGAGTATGCTTTTAAAATCACTTTCACAAGCAGTACGGTTGTTCTGGCTTATTAAGTATGTGAACCTTTGAGGAAACAATGGCTTGTTAACTCTTTGAAGTGTTGCGGGTGATATTCTTGGTGAACTGTTATGAATGTTTGATTGATTTTATTGTAATTACTTTGTAATTACTAATTGTAATTTACTAGCAGATGTTGCTGGCTAAAAATTGCTTTTACTGTTTTGGGAAAGGGTTGTGAAATGTATTTATGTGCTGACTAATATACAAAAATCATGTATTTTGCATGGCCTTTAGGTTTGAATATAGTGAAATAAACATATGCAGCTGATCACTTTTTTGTTTGTTGGGCTGCACTGTGACTGCATATTGAATTTGGGTACTTCTTGGGAGCACTCCAGAAATACTGAAGGATTTAAAGAGTCAATACCAGTGGATAACTTTACATAAAGCTCAGAGGTCCCATTCTTCCCCTGACAAAATTCCTGCTAATGCCAGTTAGGATTTGCCCTGAGAGAAGGACGTGTGATCAGAAAGTTAGGTTGGAGCACCGTTTCCAGGTATGTGAAATGTTGCCTTGTAGTACTTGTCCACTGGTTATGCAAACAGTTTCTGTTACAGCTTTATGGGGGATGTGGGCCCTTTATCTCCTTGGGCTGAGTCCGGCTGAGTGTCGTAACCTACTTACCTGCATCCTCTACTTCTGCTGGGATAAACGTGCTGCCAGCTTTGCCTTGTCCTAGTTTGTACTGGAACATGTCCCGGTTTGTACATGTTAGGAGTCATGTGCCGGAATGATACATTTGAAAGAGAGTGAATTTCAGGAGGAAGATATAAATAACAGTGGTCACAATGTCTCCGAGATTCCAGAATAACATTGCTGTAATTTACAGAGCAGGGACTCACTCTGATCCCAGCAGTTTATGTAACAGCCACCCACAAGTGAAGACAGAAGGATCTGTACAGGTGTAACATCGTCTTGACCTCAGAAGTGTTAGGCCGATTATCTTCTCAGTGGTATATAAACTTAATCAGGTGTATTTGTTTTGATGTGTACAAAAACCTCAGAGTGTGTGAATATTTGGTAGTCATGAATATTCAGGATGCAATTGGCTGCTCCTGTTGGGTTTTTGTTTCATCAGCTGTTTGGAATGTGCTCAGGCCCAGCCACAGTGCAGATTAGGGAAATGTGGGTTTTTCTAAGATTTAAAAAAAAAAACAATCTAGATTTGAACAAGTGTAAATTTATTTTATTTTGGGTATTTTTCCTTTTATTTTAGAATCATGGAATCATAGAATAGTTAGGGTTGGAAAGGACCTTAAGATCATCTAGTTCCAATCCCCCTGCCACGGGCAGGGACACCTCACACTAAACCATGTCGCCCAAGGCTCTGTCCAACCTGGCCTTGAGCACTGCCAGGGATGGAGCATTCACAACTTCCTTGGGTAACCCATTCCAGTGCCTCACCACCCTCACAGTAAAATAATTCCTCCTTATATTCAATCTAAACTTCCCCTGTTTAAGTTTTAACCTGTTACCCCTTGTCTTATCAACTACAGTCCCTAATGAAGAGTCCCTCCCCAGCATCCCTATAGCCCCCCTTCAGATACTGGAAGGCTGCTATGAGGTCTCCACGCAGCCTTCTCTTCCCCAGGCTGAACAACCCCAACTTTCTCAGCCCGTCTTCATACAGGAGGTGCTCCAGTCCCCTTGATCATCCTCGTGGCCCTCCTCTGGACTTGTTCCAACAGTTCCATGTCCTTTTTATGTTGAGGACACCAGAACTGCACACAATACTCCAGGTGAGGTCTCACAAGAGCAGAGCAGAGGGGCAGGATCACCTCCTTCGATCTGCTGGTCATGGTCCTTTTGATGCAGCCCAGGATACGGTTGGCTTTCTGGGCTGTGAGCACACACTGAAGCCGGCTCATGTTTATTTTCTCATCGACCAACACCCCCAAGTCCTTCTCTGCAGGGCAGCTCTGAATCTCTTCTCTGCCCAACGTGTAGCTGTGTCTGGGATTGCTCTGACCCAGGTGTAGGACCTTGCACTTGGCATGGTTAAACATCATCAGCCCACCTCACAAGCATGTCGACGTCCCTCTGGATGGCATTCCTTCCCTCCAGCGTATCAACCAAACCACACAGCTTGGTGTCATTGGCAAACCTGATGAGGGCACACTCAATCCCACTGTCCATGTCAGCGACGAAGATGTTGAATAAGACCGGTCCCAACACCGATCCCTGAGGGACACCACTCGTTACTGGTCTCCAGCCGGACATTGAGCCATTGACCACAACTCTTTGTGTGCGGCCATCCAGCCAGTTCTTTATCCACCGAGTGGTCCATCCATCAAATTGATGTCTCTCCAATTTAGAGGCAAGGATGTCATGTGGGACAGTGTCAAATGCTTTGCACAAGTCCAGGTAGATGACATCAACTGCTCTACCCCTGTCCATCAGTTCCATAGCCCCATCATAGAAGGCCACCAAATTGGTCAGGCAGGATTTCCCCTTAGTGAAGCCATGCTGGCTGTCACCAAGCACCTTCTTTTTTTAATGTGCCTTAGCATACCTTCCAGGAGAATCTGCTCCAAGATTTTGCCAGGCACAGAGGTGAGACTGACTGGTCTCTAATTACCTGGGTCATCCATTTTCCCCTTCTTGAAAATGGGGGTTATATTGCCCTTTTTCCTGTCATTGGGAGCTTCATCTGACTGCCATGATTTTCCAAATATGATGGACAGTGGCTTAGCAACTTCATTCACCAGCTAATTTTCTTAAAGCCTTGCTTTTAATCTATCTATAAACATCCAGACATTCTGACTGCTAACAGAATAAAGCCTTTATGCAAACTGGGATACTGTTTTTTTGCTAACCATAACTTTCTGGTCTTAGTTTAATGACAAACTGAAAATATCAGCACTAAGAAAGTGGTAAATGACACATCTTAGAAACAAGGTGATTTAACCTGTGAAATGTATTGAGCTGTTTTTGCTTAAGAATTGAAATGTGATAAAAATGCAGAAAGAGAGAATTATTAATACTTTAAAATAAAACCATCTATACAATACTGGGACTGTTAAAAAGTAACACTGGTTTATGGAGGGATTGGGTGTTCTGTGGGATCTTTTCTTAAAAAAAAGGCTCATATGTAGTTAGTTGAATTTGCTTGGTGATCATCCTTCTGTGTGAGATTTCATCTGCCTTTTGGAGACTGAGAGGTAAAACAGCTTTTCTGCTTTCTCAAGCCTGGTCAGCTTCATGACTTAGAATTGTTAGGTAATTAAATGGAACTAAGTTAAATACATTTATCATTGCTTTTTCCATCCTTCTGTTTCTGCAGTACAGAGCTACAAAGCCCCATTTTTCATCCCAACATAGGTAACAGGTGAAACCTTTAGTCCTTTTTCCTCCAGAAGTTTACATTTACCAAATGGCAAATTGAAAGCGTGTAAGAGCTGATTCTCGAGAGAGCCCAATGTACTGTATTTCTCATTCATAATCCTCTTCAGTAATCCTAATCCCTATCAGACCTCCAGCCTTTCTTAAGCATCACATGGGAGAGGATTCTTAAAGCTGCTGAGTAGAACCATGCGGTAAATAAATCGAAGGGTCTGTGTGTATTGCTGAGCAAGCACACATGTTCTGCACTGCAGGTGCTGGAAGGTATGGCAGTCTGTGCTGTGTGCCCAAGGGAGCAGATTCCTTGATTATTTATGTTCTGAGGAGGAGTTTCTGAATCTCTAATCAAGTAAATCGCTTCAGAGTTTATTGGTCACTCAGGGGGCTGAATAGAAGCAAGAACTTAAAAAGTGGAGAGCTTCTATTGTGTCTACCTTAATAAAGCCATAAGCTAGAAACTGATGGCAAGGTAAGTTGCATTTTTCTTTCACTGTAACGACGCTTTGTGTTCAGAAGTAGTTACTCATCACCCATAGTTTGAAGTGGAATACCCTTTTTATATGTCAAGCTGTATAAAACTGAAGTTCTGCTTTTTGGCACTGCAGTAAGTGTGCAGGTCCAGAGGTCAATGCATGTGTAAATAAAACAAAACAGGCTTCACCATCTTGTTTCCAGCTGCGAGATGTGCCAAGTCTGGTGTACACGTGGGATATATACAGGCACTTCCTCTTAGGAGGGCAAGGCAGGACCATCACTTTCTCTAGTGCTAGTTGGCAGCTGTGTTCTTGGAGGAAGTATTTGATTCTTTTTTTCTTGATTAATTTGTAGCTGCGGAACCGCATGCTGCAGGTTTTCTTTTAGCAGACCTCAGGATTTCTCTTCCCCTCTGACATCTCTCAGTTTTTCCTAGTAAACTTTTTGTCAGGCTATTGTACGCTTTCCTTCCTATCTTGCTGATCTCTTCCCTCGGTTGTTTGAATGCCTATGAAATTGTCAATTTAGTGGGGATTCAGTGATACGTGTTTTGGAGTGAGATGGTGTTCCTTGCAGGAAGCCTTCAATTCTTGTGGCTGAAGCACCAAATTCTGCACAGATCTGTGATGCAGACAAGCTCAGGGGTGTGACAATCTGTAGCATTTGAACCAAAATGCTGTCAATTGCTTTGGTTTCGAAGGAGTTAAAGTAGTATTTACAGTAAGCCTGGAAATTTAGGCAGGCTTTTGTTGTTCTTGTTTTGGGGTGGTTGACACAAATGGATTTGTGCTAGTTTTCCTTTATTGAGTTTTATTTAGTATTATATGGTGTTATAAAAGAAGTCAGTAGCTTACGTCTTCGGAGTTGCAAAGAGAGTATATTGCCCTTTGGGTTTGGAGGTGTCCGTGAAGTCTGGCTGTTACGTGTTTCTCCCACCTTTTAGAACGTGAACTCTGGTGAATGGGGACCGTGCATCTTTTCTATATGCCTGCAGTCTTCTGCTGAGGCACTGAACTCTGTTGCTCTGTTTGTTGTCTCTGATCACGTGTGACTCTTAAGTCCATGTTTTTTTTTTGGCGATGCTCTACAAGGTGGTGTGTACCTCATGTGAACGTACTGCAGCTTCTCAGGGAGAAGCACCAGGGAAAATATAACTATCTCTGCAGGAGGCAGTGGTGGTGAAGAGTAAGATGAGGAAGGAAAGCAACTGGCATAATTTTGTCTCATGTAGCTGTTTAATACAGCCTGTATTTGAGGTGATGCTGCTGTTCAAATTCATCAAGCCTTCATCTCTGTGGGGAGTGGTGCCTCTGTCCTGACCCTTCAAAATCCTTGGAGCTATGGTCTCTGCGTAGCACCAGGCTTAACGTTTTTACAGGTGTTTATTTCCTTCTCTCCCTTTCTCAACTTTCCCCTGCTCTGGTTCTGGGTTAGAATAAAAACCTGTGCAATTCTCATGCCAGACAGCCTGGGAGTACTCTAGCGGTAGTATGTGATTGCTGGCTTTTTTTCCAGAGGAAACATATCTGACTGTGAGCGATATTCTGATTGTTCTCAAAGTGAGACATTTCAGAATTTGACCTAATCTTGGAATAGGGTCTGTTTGCTCTGACCAGAGATTTCCACAGCAGTGGCGTTATAGAAGCCTGGCTGTCTGTCCTTTTATACAGGCAATTGGTGGGACCTGTGCAGCTGATGATATAATATGCTCCCACACTGAAGCAGATCCACGAGGTGAAGGAAAGTAGTGTTTAACAAAACTGATTGATTACTTTCTTATGATAGCTAATTGTTATTTTAGACTTACCTCCCTTCTAGCTGTGGTACTGCAAATAGATTTTAATACCGTCTCTGTGTTCATCCATCATAATGAGAATTATCTTTCACGGATGGTTATGTGCATGAAAATTTGTCTGCATATATTGATTGTTAATGAATCAGCTTAATGACTTCTATACAGAAGACAAGAAAGTAGCTGGAAAAACCTGGCAGTGGAAGATGTACTTGGGCACAACACAGGCAACCTGCTCGTGGATCTCAAGTGTTTATATATTTAATTATAGATTCTCAGCGCTGTGGGACATGTTGCAGCTGTCTTCATTCTGACTGAATGGTCTTTCCCTCATCTCTCTGGTGGTTTTGAAGATACTGGACGAGACTGCAACATTCTTGGAGCATTGGTTGGAGAACATGGGATCTGGTAGTTCTGGAAATGCCAACTACAAGTACTCCCTGCAGAAGTCTGAAAATGGTGAGTGTCTCTTTGAAAAGTCTTTGAGTGTCTGCTCCTGCACCTGCTGTTGGGAGGTTGCAGTGGATCTGTTTCTTTTCTGAATTACCTGGTTTTCTTCATAGTGTTGAGTTTGAAGTCACATCTTTCAGTATCCTGTAACAAGGAGTCTCAGCTGTTGGCAGACCACCGACAGGCATGAGAAAATAACAGCTATTTAGACCAGGGTTAGATGAGAATCAACAAAACCTAAACAGAAATTAAGCAGCAAAAAGCAATTCAGTTAGAACTAACATTGAAGGGGTTTCAGTTGCTGGCTCTCAAAGCTGTAACGATTTATTTTTATGAAACCCTCTATATGATAGTATCAACTTTGTGGGTGTGTGCTCAGGTCTGCTGTGGAACAAAGGGAGATTATGAGTGAAACTTTACATATAATGAAGTGTAAAGAAGTAAATGTTTGCTTCCTTTGTTGTTCGAATCATTTGGCATTGGCAGACCAGCAGAATGGTGAAAACTGTATCAGGAGCCTTGGAAAGAAAAGTAGTGACTGCAGGTAGAAATCAAGGAAGTGGGGATACCATTGTGACTCAGTCTTTTTGATTGTAATTCTATTCTGTTGAAAATCTCCCTCCAACTTTTATTTAAGTAAGTTAAATCTGTCCATTGCCTATAGCACCAGAAAACCACAGACCTGCCCAACAACTTCAGGGCTGTTTTATGATAATGGCTTGTCTATAGCAAACAAAGTATACTGTAAAACTAGTTACTTATTTGAAACGCTGCATGAGACCCGCTACCCCATCAGCAGCTTTGCATGGCAGTAAAACCTCTCTGAATTTCTTGTGTCTGGCTCTCCAAACCCTTCAGATCTGGTGATCTGCAGATATGGACTGCTTAGAAGTTTCCATCCATGTACAGAATGCCAGGTCTTGTCCTAACCCCTTGCATAAGGCCCAGAGGCTGTTCCCAATAGAAAGCATAGCCAGTAGATCTCTGATAAACTGGCCCTTGAGGGGCCTGAGGGAGGAAGGGGATGGGGAACCCAAGAGAGGGTTCCTCGAGCCCAGATCCTGTAGGCTGATGTGTGAACTGTACTGCTAGCATGAATAGTGGACTTTACTTTGAGTGCTGACACTTTGACATGCTTTCAGTAGCTTATGTGATGATGTATGATTCAGTTTACTGCTTGGATCCCCATAATAAATAAATGGATAAATCTCTTTCTCTTCCTTCTTTATTCTTTTTTTCTAAACTAGTACAAACACTGCCAGATGAAACTCACCCAGGTAAGATGGTGAATTACAATACCTGGCTTTTTCAGTTGCAGAGTCAGTCTCTGTAAAGTAGCATAAAAATCCAATGTCTTGCCCATCTGGAGTTTAAAATAATGTGCATGGTGGTAGATATGCTCACTGTGTGTTTGATAATGAGTCTTTCATAGATTTGGTTTTTAATATCCCAAAGGATTTAGCTTTTATTGGTGCATGTGGAGTCATAGCTATGAATTTCTGCTTGGTATTCACTTGAAATATATCTGACTCCTACCACAGTAATTAGGCACTTACCCACTGTTGGGGAATGCAAGATATTTAGAAGTTGTTTATTTTAGAGAATGATTGTTACTGTGATTTTGGTTATGTGCCAGCCAAATTACTGTACAGGGAGTGAGGTAGCTAGTGTCGTGTCGGTTAAAGAGCCTTGGAGTGGTAGCATCATGAGCACCAACCTGCAGGAAAAAAGTCAGCCTTTCTTTTCCCAAAGTGCAGCAACTCAGTAAGCATTTTTGTTTTCAAGATATAAGGCTCAGGCAGACTACATAAGTTATTCTTGAATTAAGGCTAGCCAAGTCTTACCTTCTTGCCCATGACTTCACCACAACTCAGTTCCCAAGCTGCACAATAGCGATAGCTCTTCGTGTTTTGTGCTCTGCAGCTCCTACTCCTGTAACAGTAACATTATTTAGAAGGATTATTATTTTCCATACGTAAGCCATCAGGACATGTTATTTAGGTAAAGGTCAATGTTTTCTGCTCAAGTACAGGTAGGGTGGTTTATATTACATAATTAACGCAAGCTAATTGAATTAATGTGATCTCTTTGTCTTATGCCAGCACGAAGCAGTCCTTGGGGTACAGGTGGGGTGTTGCTTTCTTTTTAAGCAGGTTTCTCCACCCCCCCCCTCCCTTCCCCCCCCCCCCCCCATTGCTCTCCCTGCCTCGGTGAACATGGCAGTGCTCTCTCACAAACTAGATACCAAAGGAACACAAGCTTCTGCAGCAGGGCTAACTCTGTCATCTCCATTTGATTCTGGGGCTAGCCTGTAGATAGAACAGTCATCCCTCCCCCCCTCAGCTAAAGATGCCACAGAGAAGCAGTGTTAGAAAATGTTTTAGATGTAGGGCTCGACAGTAGGACTCCAGGAAGGTACACAGAGATTATCAAAAGAGAGGTAAGTTACAAAGCTGTTTGGCAGGGTGCTGTAAAGTAACCAGGCAGTCCATATGGAGTGAAGAGCAGCTAAGGAGGATGGAGTTGTTTCTAGAGGTACTAGATTGTGGCAGAACTTGAAAAAGCAGACAGGACCCTGCACCAATGTACTTCAAATATGCCCACACCCCATTTGAAATAATATAAAACACTGGAATGGGGAAAATACAGAGGAATGGTTATGGTTTAAATATTAGGGCAAATAGTCATAATTTTCTGCATTTTGTTCTTTCCGTGTCAGTAAGTGGCCAAAGATCTGTCTGTCTCTTTTCACTGTGGGTGTTAATTTTGTCTTTTTGTCTTTCTTTTACTCGAAGATGTATGTTTACATTTATGCTAGAATAGATCCCTTCTGAAGTTTGTCCAGAGCAGCAAAACCTGAGGAACTGATTTGGCTTAGAAAGAAGGTGGATAATCCCCGTATTTTTAAGGTGGAAGGGGACTCATCATCTTGTTTTCCTTCAACTCCTTGTGCACCTCAGCCAAACCTCCAGTTTTCTGAAGCCACAGAACCTAGACTGTAAGACAGACATGAAAATGATCAGGGTAGATAGACAGGGAAGAAATTGTCTATTAATACTGAATAGCACATTTAGGTCTTTAGGCCCTAATAAGCTGTTGTTAATGCTGGTGCTGAGGAGCCAGCAGTGATGGTTAGAAGTGCTTCATCAGAGGTTCCTGGTCAGGCAGAGTCAGATCAACCTCTCAGACTATGCTGAAAAGATGCAGGTGTTCTGCTACCCTCGGTATTTAGGCATCAGAACACCTTTCCTGAAAAAGAGAGGTCCCTCTGCAATTTTCAGGGTCAGGAAAGGAGCTGTAGCAGGGTGCCTCAGCTGCAGCCAGTGCAGCACAGCACACTGGTTCTGGTTTTGTCCCCAGCTTTCAAGGCAGCTGTCTTGATCCAGCAGTGGTATCGGCGCTATGTTGCTCGCCTGGAAATGCGCCGACGTTGCACCTGGAGAATCTTTCAATCAATAGAGTATGCTTGTGAGCAGGATCAGATCAAGGTAAGGTGCCATGGAAAAAACCTCGTAGGAAAATATGCAGGAGGGTGGTTTCTGTGTCACAGGCTTGCCCATTTCTGGCTACTGGCTGGTAAATCTCTAAGTACTTCAGTGGGCCAAGGACTGGGTTTCCTGCCCCTTCTTACCCTGTTGACTTCCTGCCTGCTTATGTCTGATGAGACCCTAAGTAACAAGTCTTGAAAGCAAGCTGTAAGGACCATTTAGTATTGTTTTTCCTGAATTGGACACAATAGACAATGTTATTTGGTGAAGGTAAAGCTACTTTGGTGATTTGATCACAAGATAGTCAAACTAGAATTGGTATAGTATGCTTTGTTGTACACACCGAACAATGTGAGAAGGGCTTAGACAATACTTCTAGAAAGAAGATCCTGTTAAGTTGCTACTCTGCAGGACTTCATTACAGGGTGAATGATGATGGGCTTGCTCTCTTCTTGCAGCTTCACAACTTCTTCACTTACCTCATGGATCACTTCACACCAAGCAGCAGCAAAGAGAGTAAGTTTCTATGTGCTGCTTGTAGATGAGCATCAGCAGCTCAGGTTGCACCCTGTATTGATTTGCTGTCCAGTGCTGCCCCTTCAGGATGGCAAGAGGAATCAAAAGAGTCTAAAGAGTGATGGCCTCCGGAATTTGGATAGGGAGTGAATTGTCTGGAGACTGTTAGAACTGTGCAAGGGATGTGGGACAGTTCCAGCTCCTTAGGAGCTAGAAGGGGGCATAGAAGCTCAATATGTTTTCTACGAGTAGAATTAGAAATCTCAAGGGTATCTATATGATTTATACTTAATCTCCCACTTATAATTGGGGGGGGGGGGGAAGTTCTATGGGAACCAGTACTGTATCTTCCTGAACCTGCAGAGAGCATTATCTTAGTGCTGGGAACTTATTGAAGGGCTTAGCTCTAAATCTCATGGTAGTAAGTCAAAACTAACCATTTACTTTGCTGACCATAACCTGCTGAAACATTTGCTCCTTCCTTTCAAACTGCCACCCTTTTTCTTACAACCACCCCACATATTTTACAGCAAAACTGTTGAGGAAGACTTTTTTTTTCGGTGCCTGTATAAAAGGGGACAATAGTGTCCTGTTCCTAGAGTTGGGCTCTGAGATGTTACAGCACTAAAACCGGGTGTATGTGTATTTATACAGATTTTGTGCAGCACTGAGAATGTAGGTGCAAGCTTACAAAAAAACAGTGGGATGTAGGAGATGGTTCATTATGATACAGCTTGCTTTTGCATGTCATGGAAAATAAGATTTCAGTTAGCCATGGCAACCAATGCCCGTCTGGCTCTACTGAAGTTTTGCTAGTGTAGCTGCCAGCACTGCCTGACACATAGCACATGGAAACTTGTCCCTGCAGCCTTTTCCCCTACTGCAAATTCTGTAGTGGTGTCAAACTGGAAGCTGTCTCCCACCCCTGTTGCTAGCTCTAACCTCACCAAAAAACTTTTCTTTAGCAAATTGCTGGAATGGTGCATTGAGCCAACCTAACTTTTCCTTGTCTCTATTTTTAAAACAACTGACTCATCTGCCGTCCAGGGGATTTTATCAGTCGCATGTTCATTAGTGGGGAAAGCTTCAAAGAGGCAGAGCTGGAAAAGTACTGTGACTATGAATCCATAGAGGTGCCAGACTCCTACACCGGACCCCATCTCTCTTTCCCGCTCCTTCCTGACCATGCGACTGCCTTGCTGGAAGCGTTCAAACAGAAACAAGTAAGGATCCCAAGAGGAACCATGCTTTCCCATCCTCTACACAAGGGTCTAGGATAGATAGTTTGGTTTTAGGCTTCCTAACCAGCTAAGCTGACCGGAGTATAACAAGCTGGCAGGCTGCGAAGGAAATGGGGCTGGCAATGGTTTGGTGTTTCCCCCTACCACCTGCACTTTTTTCCTTTCTGAAAATGCAGTTCTGGCAAACCCCAAAACTTTTCATAGGTATGTACCAATATTAACCTGAATTTCATTTTGAAAGGGAAAAAACCCCACCCCCACACCAGTCCATGTTGAAACAGTCTGTCATTTTTTGTTGCAACTCCTCAATTTGTTAAAAAGGTTAGGATGGCCCAGACGGAACCAGCTGATTGAAGTTGTGTTTTTTGCCATGCAGCTTTGACTTATATTTAAAATGTAAAACGTGAGTTTTTTGCCAGGGAAGTCCAGTACCAGTTCAGCAGCATGAACAAGACAATTCCTTGTACAAATGCAGTGTTCTGTTGCCATCCCTCAGTCAAGGTGCTGAACTGCAAAACAGGCCACAAGGCCCCTTCTCCAAACAAAATGACTTTTAAAACAAAGGTCTCTAGTGCTTTGACTAATATTAAATGCCTACACCCTGTGAACACTTCTGCAGGACATGTGAGAGTTCACAGCCTGGCTTAATGCGGAAACGCTAAGAAAGATCTAGAGGTGCAGCTCCGTACCTGTGATGCTGGGCTGGAATTGCTGCTGCTCTAGGAAGCGGTGCTGCCTAGGGCTTTTGGATTCCCCTGCCAGCCCTGCCAGCGCTGAGACTGCTTTGGGTCAGTCTCTTCAGTCCTGCTGTTTCCCAGGATTGTCCTCACCTTGTTTACAAGCCCATAGGTCAGCACTGTTGTCCCAGTGAGAGCTTCTGCCATCCAGGCTGTCAATCACTAGTGGATCTTCGGGTCCTTCAACAGAGCTGTATTGCTGCTCAGAGGTCACTGGTTTCCTGCTTTAATCCCTTCGCTTTCTCCTAGTAGCAGCTCCATGCTCGCTATGTCTTAAACCTCCTGCATGAGACCAGGAAGCACCTCAAGCAGTTGCCAAACATCAGCCATGTCTCCACATGCTACAGCGAGGAGGTCACCGTGTGTGGTAGGTCTGGGAGGGGGGGTACTGCACAGTCTCTGGAGCAGATCACTTGTGTGGAAGGGGTGGGAAAGATATCAAATGGTAGCAAGCACCTCTGCCCTCCTCTGTACTGAATGTGGAACATAAATGAGGCCTGTAAGCAAATGCCTGTTTGCACTGAGAGGCAACTGGTGCTGTCCAAAATATTCAGGTTTACCACACGATACTTTAATGTGAGCTGCTGTAAAGAGTAGCCTGGAGGGTGGAGGGAGCATGTCTGCATCTTGGCCCACTTTCTGCTTGGTCTAGAACAGGAAGGAGACAGGGCGTTGAGGGAACGTGGTTTGTCTGTTTGTATCTTGTGTTTGGCTTCCGGCACAGATTTTGGGATACACTATTGACAAACCCTGCCCCTAGATGGTAACTAGTTTGATGCAAAGCTTTCTCCCATGTAATGATCAGTTTCTTGTGTCATGTTGCATCATCATCATAAGAGGTAAATGAACAAAACTTCTGAATCAGAGGCTTCAGAAGCTAGTGTGGGTTTTTTGGTATTCCCAGGTGTCAGCCTTTACATCATGTCATTTTTCTTTGGGCACAAGCCTCAGTGTAAAGAAACTTGTACCTTGAACTTCCCAAATATTTCAGCTTATTTCAAATTTTTCATTTCAATATTTCAAATATTTCAGTTTCTAGAGGTGATACTTTATAGGAAGTTATTTATTGGTGCCTTTTTCAATTGAAGGTAAACATACCATGACTTGTCTTTTTGTGCCTGTTAGGAGACCTGCATGGCCAGCTGGATGACTTGTTCCTCATATTTTATAAGGTAGGCACCAAATCTGGAGGAGGCTGGCCAGGCATGGGGAGAGGGATCGCATGGGTCATGCTGAGAAGTGTTTGCAAATCTGGGACCTTCACATGCAATTCTCCAGGTCAATTTGATCAGTTTGGCTTCACAAAGCAGCAGCTTATTCCCTTGCTGAAATCTGATATATGTGTATGATGTTTGGGAAGTGACAGTGGACATTTTTGTGAGTGCTGATACCAGTGGCAACTCTTCCTGACTGAAAGCTTTCACTTGTTGGTGCATTTGCCACTGGGCTCCTACAGGATAAAAGTAGGAGTCAGGACCTACTGCATAAGGTAACCTGGGACAGGAGGGAGAGGTACATGAAGATTGTGTGGAGGCCTCTCTTGTGCCATCTTCCTGTTCCTTGCTTTTACAGAATGGCCTTCCTTCCCCTTCTAAGTCCTATGTGTTCAACGGGGACTTTGTAGACAGAGGCAAACAGTCCCTTGAGATCCTCATCATCCTCTTCACCTTCCTCTTGATCTATCCAAAGGAGGTTCACCTCAACCGTGGGAACCATGAGGACCACATGGTCAACTTACGGTATGGGCTCTGTGTGGGGCTGGTTGCAATGTCAAGGGTGTCACTGCGAAATCCAACTGAATTTCCTTTCTCCTGTTCCTTTAGCTATGGTTTCACCAAGGAAGTAATGCATAAATACAAGGTAGGTATACTTTTGTATCTCCTTTACCAGGTGAGAGGTGAACTTTAAAGCCTGATGCTTTTTAGCATCTTTTCCTTTCTGACCTGTGCTCCTAGGTACATGGGAAGAAAATCTTGAAGATGATTCAGAACGTCTTTTGCTGGCTCCCCCTTGCCACCCTGATTGATCAGAAAGTCCTCATTATACATGGGGGCATCTCTGACACCACTGACCTGGATGTGCTTGAGAAAATTCAAAGGAACAAAGTAGGTTTCTTTTCCTAAACATTGCAAGAGACAACAGTGTTGCTGATCTGTGGTGAGGAGCTTATTTCTACAAGTCATCTTGGTTGTTGATGGTCTTCCTAGGCAAACTGTGTTTAGGTACAGGCTTGGAGAGGATCACTTTGGTTTAATAGTGTATGTGCAGGAGGTGTGAAGGGAAGAGGCATTCTTGGCTTCTGGAATGTGTAGGATTAGTCCTTTCCTCATTCTGCCAACACATTCCCATTGCAGATTAAATCTATGTACTCTATCTTTTGTGAAATGCCTGAGCAGCATAAAGCCAATGAAGATGAGTGATCTGTAGTCAGGATGGATGGGGGGCCCCAGCTGTAAATCTAGAATGGCATATATGAGAGGATGGCACTAGTAATCACTCACAGTTAATCATCATTTGATGGTAGCAAAGGGATTTGAGGCTTGGGTCACTTGACAGTCTGCCAGTGGAAGATGTTAGAGCTGAAGATACTGGTTTCCAAGTGATGTGATCAGGTCTCTTTTCTCTTTTACCTCTTTCAGTTTGTTTCTGTATTGAGAGGGAAGAAAAGAAAGAAGTCAAACAGAAATGTGGAAATACAGGAAACAAACGAGGAGAGCAAAGCAGAGGCTGACCCAGCAGGGAATGAGGCAGCTCACAGTTTACCTCCCTCACCCCAACCAGCCCAGGCTCCCGGAACGGCCAACAGGCGGGAGTTCTCCAGGTGGGTCCGGAAGACGGTGCAGGAGCAAATTGAGTGGTGCCGCCGGCTGGTGGACATCAGTGAGTCAGAGGAGGAGGAGCTCACCTATGCCAGCATGATCTCCTTGACAGATTTGGATGGGCTGTGCCAGACTCGCCAGGAGGACTGGAAGCAGGTGAGTAGTCGTCTGGGGCCCTGAGCTTGGTGGGCTGTATGTGCCTCCTGCAGGTTTGCTCTCTGTTACGAGAAATCTGAGTGCAAAACATGTGGGTCAGTGCACATCTCTCTCTGCATGGCTGTATAATTGAAAGTACTGCTCTGACACAGAGCACAGCAACAGGTTTTCTTGAATCACGACAGGGAAGAGAAAGAATAGAACAGACAAGACTGACTGCAGAGCCCAGGGGTTGTATCGCTGGCTGTGTATGTGGGGTACCTGAAGTCAGTCTGTAGGTAATGAATGAGCATATCATTTGCTGACAAGTGAGTTGTGATGTTGTGTGCTAAGAGCAGACTGAAGGTTTTAGCTGGGTTGCCCTGTGAGTAGATTGTTAGGGAGTGTCAGAGCCTGGGAATTTGCTTACCTGTTTGTGTTAGACCAGTCTGTAAGCTCCTTCTGTGTGCTCTGAAACCATCGTTCCTTACTCCATGTTACTTGACAGCTCAGCACTGCACACCTTATCAGAATAAAGCTATAGACTGAGGTCAGGGTTAAAGAGATTAAACTTTAATCCAAATAGCAGTTACTGAGTCAGCACTTACATTTCTGGAGGCTGTGGAATGTCCCGGCTAGAGTACAAAGGAATTTAACACTAAGCCTGCTCACGGCCTCAGGATCTGCCAGGTGGCGTTGCCCTGGGACTTGTGTTTTGGTGTGGAGGAGGACAGGCAAGGCTCCTTGAAATCTTAGAGGCAGCAAAAGGAAAGCTTGTATCAGGCCTGATTTATGGACAGCCCTCTTCCCCCAGGCCTACAATATTGTCACTTCTGTGGTGGACCAGATCTGTGACAGCCCTGCAGAGCAGAATGGCGGTTCAGCTAGGATGCAGCAAATACCTCTGTTTCTCTGCACTATGGTAATAGCAGCACTCCAGGGAGGGATTTGGAGGCAGAGCTGTATTTGCTTTGTAAACTTTGATGGGTGGTTTGTGTTGGGTACACTTCATTCAGTAAATGTTTCACACCCCTTCAGATCTTAGACATTCTCTGGAGTGACCCCATGCCTCAGGAAGGCTGCATAGTAAATACGGTGCGAGGTGGTGGCTGCTACTTTGGGCCTGACGTGACAAGGAAGATCCTTGAGAAATACAACTTGCAGTTCCTCATCCGCTCCCACGAGTGCAAGCAAGAAGGCTACGAGTTCTGTCACAACCGGAAGGTCGGTGAGGGGGTTGGCATGAAGGATACTTGGGTTTCCATCCTGCTAGGGTGCATGTTCTACGGTGGCTTCTTTCAGCTCTGCATTTCTTCCAATGGTGCTTTGTTAGGTACATACAAAATCGTTGAATGGCCTTATTGGGAGTTACTGAAGTGTGTTTCCAGCTGAGGTCTTAGGTCAGGACAGTCTGGAGCCACCTGCACTGTGAGGGGCATTTGATGTGCAGGCAGAGCATGTTCTTGTGCGTGGTAGCTGAGATTTGAACCCATTTGTGCCATTGCCCCCACTTAACGCAGCTGTTTCTGAAGATGACATACAAAAGGTGTTACTAAGCTGCTGCAGCAGTTTTGCTCTTGGAAAATTCAGGGTCACTTCAGTGACTTCCACAGGGGCACTTTTGACTCCATTAACTGCAGCGGAGAGTGGAAGTTTGTCAGGAGAGCACAGTGAAACCACGGAAGTTCAGTGTGTGGTCAGATCCACATTAGGAACTGCACTGCCCTCAAACTCCAACCTGTAAGGTTTCCAGGCCACCTTTACTCTTCCTTTTCCACATAAAACATGGTGCTTTCAGTCTGTTAACTCCAGATGAGATTGGTTGTGTTGTTTTCACAGATACACATGTATATTATAAGGGATGTATGTACTGATCTTAAATATCTCTTCTTTTTTTTGGATTAGGTGCTGACCATATTTTCAGCCTCAAACTACTATGAGATTGGCAGCAACAGGGGAGCTTACGTGAAGCTGGGGCCAGACCTCGTCCCCCATTTTGTTCAGTACCAAGCCAACAAGGCAGCCCATACTCTCACTATGACCCAAAGGCAAGGCTTTCCTGTTGCGCTGTATTCACCAGGTCAAGATTCCACAAGGGAAAACCTGGGGAGCTTTGAGAATGTTTGACTTTGGAGCTGAACTTTCACAGCTTGATTTACTAAATAATAGCACTAGAGGAGGATTCCAGCTTTGTGCGGGCTCAAGGGTTGAGGAGGGAGCTGACAGGATCAGAAATTTACAGACTGCTGATTTTGCAGTTTCTCTTTTCAATGTCAAATTTAAGTTTTGACAGTTGCTGAGGTTCCCTTCTGCTTCACTTCACAAATCGATGCAGGGCTGTGCTTGTCCTGAGGTGCTTTGTCAGGAACAGTTGGATGCAGCTGTAGCTGTGCAGAGCGGCTGTGAGAGGGGCTGGGCAATGCAGGGATAGGCCGGAGGATTGGGAGGGTGCAGCTTCTCTCATGCTTCTTGGCAAGCCCTTATTATGCTTCTCTCTTTTCTGCACCCTTTAGAATCAGCAGAGTAGAGGAGTCAGCCTTTCGAGCCTTGCGGGAAAAGCTGTTTGCTCACACTTCAGCCCTCATCAGCACGTTCAAGGCCTATGATACGGACAATACGGGTGAATTTGACCTGGAATATGTCTGTTGTGTCACTTGGGAAGGGCTGCTTGTCTCTAGATGTTCCTTCATCCCTGGAGTCCAAAATTGCAGGGAAGAGGGAAGTGGGGGATGTCCTTTGTAGCAGCTGTCTCTGTCAGAGCCTTGAGGAAGGAGATGAGAGTTCATAATTATACATCTGCCAGGAGTGCTCTGCTGGTGCAGCTGCCAAGATGTGGTGTTGAGTTCTGTCCATTCGTGGGCTGGGGGACAAAGGGGACACAGTGGTTGGCTGCTTCTGGGTAGAACTACTTTCTTGCTTTCTTCTCTGGCAGACAAATTGTTGACAAAAGTCCAGTTCAGCTGTTCCAGCAGCTGCTAAACTGGAGGATTTGCCATGTTTCTGGGTCCCTGAGGAAATATTAGCGCAGCTGTGTAGGCCACAATCTGCAGGATGACCCTGGCTGTAGGCCACAAATTTATAATGAAATATCCCAAGTTAGTGTCTTCCTGTTGTTCAGATGATTGCAGACTCATGGCCTGGACTTCTTGCAATGATCAAAAGCTTGCTGAGGCAGGGGGGAGCAGCAATGCACTTGTGCCTGATGCCTGTACAGCCATGTAGGGATTTTGCCTGTACCAAAGAGCTGAAGTGTGCCTTGGAGAAATAATGCTGTTGCTGTCACCAGCACAGCAGACTGTGTATGAGTACTGCTGTAGGCCTTTTATTTTGCCCTTATGTGCTTCCAGATGTCTGATTCTCGGAGGTCTTTTCCTTACAGGAAGGATCACGCTGAGCAACTGGGCAACAGCAGTGGAGTCAGTCTTGCACCTGGGATTGCCCTGGCGAATGCTGAGGCCACAGCTGGTGAGCAGCACTGCAGATGGCATGCTGGAATACAAGTCCTGGCTGGACGACTTGGCCATGGAGCGGCGGAGCCAAGAGGTAAGGACTCACCCCCTTCCATCAAATCAGGTCACCAGATCCCTTCAGCATGTGGAACCAAGACAGGTACTACAGGGGAATTGATAGTTCTTCTATCATACTGAAGTCGATGGAAAAGCTTGCGTAAACTGAATCAGTCCAGAAACATTCAGTCCATTGCAGAAATAGATGATGCATGTGTGATCAAAACCTAGAGGTAGTTTTGGATGCAGGCTTTTGAGTAGGAAAACTATATTCCATTCTCTGAGTCACAGGTTCTCTAATTACACCCAGCAAAACCAACTCTGCAATGGTTAAAAAGCATAATCCAAGTCACTGTCTTCTCTGTTAGCCTAGAAAAGCCATGTTTGGAAGCAGTAAGTTGCTACAATGCAGAGTTGTGCAGAGGATCCAGTCATCACCAACCTGTTTCATAAGGCACACATGATGCTAAGTGCACTGCTGGCAAACTCTTGAGAGCAATAAATGTTTTATGTGATGGTAGCAGCAACTGCTCAAAGAAAGCAGATGGCTGTCAGAAGGGCAGGAGCATGAGTTTGTTGTCTTTCAGCACATCCAGACAAGCTTGCTGGAAGTCATTTATCGAAACAGATCCAACCTGGAGACTATATTCAGGATCATTGACAGAGACCATTCAGGTAAGCAGGTCTGCAAGGGGTAAGCAGGTCACTGCATTGTATTCTGTTCTACTTTTGGGCCCCTTTTAGTATGTACAAAGGCATTTTTATTCAGTGGTTTAAGGCTTGGGTCTTTCTCCTCCCCCAAGAACTTCTGAAATACCACTGTGTGATTCCACTAACTTGACGCATTTTGAAGGGCTCTGTGCAGTCCAGGTAGAGAATTAGTAATTCTTTGTTCTGAAGTTTAGCAGAACAAAAACTGTAATGAGTGCACTGACAGTAATGCAGCATACTCAGGATCTTGAGTGTTACCTGTTTTCAAGCAGTCATCTCCACCAAATTACTTTCGGCAAGAGAAAATACAAGTCTTTGGCTTCTTTTGTTCTCCCAGATTGCATTATGTCTCTTTGCTGCTTTAAGTTGTGTTTTAGTCAGTGTTCTCCATGATAGGAAATTTAGTTGCAGCATGTGAAATGTAGATGATGAGTGATTTCTTTCCTTCTTTTAAGGGTAATCAGGCAGCAGGGGTGGGATAAGAGTTCAAGCCTGAGCAGGGGTCCCTGCTTGCAGCAGTGCCTGTGGTGACCTTGTGCTGAGGTGGCTGTGGGCTTCCTTTCCTCTCCACAGGTCTCATCTCATTTGAGGAATTCCACCAAACCTGGAAGCTGTTCAGCTCCCACATGAACATTGAACTCACGGATGATGGCATCGACGACTTACTTCGCAGCATTGATTTCAATAAGGATGGAAACATTGACTTCAATGAGTTCCTAGAAGCCTTCCGCCTTGTCAAACAGTCACAGTAGTGAGAACCTGGTGTGGGTTGCCACCTTCAATGCCTTGACTGCCCATGAAGCCAGGACTGCCCCCCACCTAACCGCAGAGCGTGCCTGCAAATGTGAAGTGGAGAAAGGCAAGGCAGATACCTGGAGCACTTCGTGATTGAAAACAGTCACTGCTATAGCCAACAACAGTGATCCATTCTGGAAAGGGAACAGGCAAAAGATAAGCTGCACTTCAAATCTGGCCATTTTTAAGAAGGAGCTGTTTCAAGTAGAGCTTCCTGCTCAAAGGGAAGGTGGAACTTAGCTTATCTTGTCAATACATGTGATGAAATGTTACAGGTCTACTTCCAGTGTAGTAAGATGAAAGTATTTCTTGTATGTAGTGTTTTAAGCTGGTAGCAACGGCTAGAGCACAACTTCCCATTTAATAAACATTTTTTTCTACATTGCTGGTTCTGGGCTGTTTTGTTTCTTTACTTTTTTTTTTTTGTGGTTAATGAACAAAATTATTCTGTCTCTATCATAACAGTCTCCTACTACAGAGAATAATGTATTTTTGTTTCAGTTATTCTGTGACTTTTGTAATAAGGAAAAAAAGGCAACTTGGGTGGGGAAGCTGTCTCTCCCATGCTTGTAGTAGCCCCTGCTCTGGAGTACTTAGTCTCAGGTAGGATCTATGGACTATGACCTTGTATTTTAGTTGAGGATAGAGGCTGCCAAGCAGCTCTGTGACCTTGGGTTTGATACCTGTTACTTGCAGTGCCTGGAGGAGAGAGAATGCATTAACCTGAAGCTGCCAGTAGGTTCACTGGTTTGCTGATAGAGCTGAGCAAGATCCAACACCATTCACACGTTATTACAAAGTCAGCAATTTATTACAAGTTATTACTCTCCAGCAATTAAAAAAAGGCAGAAGACAACATCTAGAGATTGTGTTGTTATTTAAGAGGCAGCAAAGCTTTGTATAATTCACATAGATCAAGTGATAAAAACATAACCTTGCAGTCCAAAGGAAGGACAGAAATGGGAAACACCAACTTCCAGCAGCTTGCCCCAGTAAGCTACTGGTATTGCAGAGACCGATGTACGTACAGCAACATACAGATCTGTAATGATTTAAATCAGCTGTTTACATAAGGATGGCACCTGATTGTTTTGACAAACACATGGAAGTGAGCTAAGCTTTCTTCAGACCAAGTCACAGTTGGAACAATTTCATCAGTACTACATTTCCAGGACAATGCTGTTGTAAAAAAAAAAAAAAAAGAAAAGATAAAAAAAGGAAACATGTACAACAGTACATAGAGTTTTATAGTAAAACAGTATCTGAACAGATTCAGTTGTCCTTCTTTTACTGAAGCATATACAGCTTTACAAAATATAAACCTTCCAAAGGTCAAGTTCAAAAGCTTAGGAGAGGCTTTGCTAATTCTAAAGGTAACAGCCAAAATACCACTGCTTTTAGAAAGTATGTATGTGGTTTATTTTTTTAATGTTTTTTTTAGCCTTGCAAGGTAAACCATGAACTTGAGTAACACCTTCTGTGTAAGCCCAGCAGCATCCACTGCATCAACTGAAGACGACTCCTCTGGGAATGCTCTCATTCAGTTCCTGTTCTATAAGTTTGATGTCCTCCAAGTCGTCCTTTATGATGCTAATTAGGTGACTCAGGCCTTCTTGCTGCTGCTTCAGATGCTGCAGATACACAGTTTAAAAAACAGCATAAGCATAGTCCAATTTAATAGATTTAGGGTAGTATTTCTCAAAGGTACCATGGCCTTGGCTGATTGAAAAGCCTGGTATAATTTCTTAGACAGATCTCCCAAGTTCCCGTGTAGCTGGCCTAAGTTATGAAGTTAACAGAGCATCCCTGGATTCTCCCCAGTAATACCTACTTGTTTGATTTCCCTTAAGAGGTCTGCATCTACATAATAACGCTCTTCAGCCCGCACAGCTCCAAAGTGGTTTTGCATCCTGATTTGGGACATGAGCTCATTCAGTCTGCCCTGGGAAGAGAGACAGGCTTAAAACAAACCCAACTCATTCACAGCTGTCAGAGCTCTAGCATGTACCACTCCTTGAGGCACCAGGGCTGGAAGCACTGCTGCTCATTCCATTTTAAACTTCTTTACTGGGGAGGGGGGAGGGAGAGGAAAAGACATGCAAAAGGCAAGCTGCTTCAATACTTCTCTGAACTCAAAAATACTTAAATACCTATCAGTGAGGCAGCAAAGAGCATGATGCTACAATGCAGCAATACTGCTGGACTTCTCTTCTGAAAGCTTTCCACAACAACTCTACATGCATGGTTTGGAAAACTTGCATTCTTCTGTGAGGAAAAAACAAAGTTGTTAGCAAAGTGCTATTAACTACTCACCTTGAACTGCATAGGTGCGTTAAGTTCACACTGAATTGTATCTAACTGTACACGAAGTTGCTCTTCGTCTGCTTGGATGGCATAACCGCTTTTCCTTTGGATCTCCTGCTTTATTAACACCTACCAAAAGAAGTCTTTCAGGTTCATTAGAGATGACTTCACCCATCTTTCTAACCCAACCATGTCTTTTTGTCCTTCCACCAGCTTGTCTCTCATTAGATTTACTCTCTTTAGTCTGTTCCTCTGAGACTTTGGGGCAGTGCCACAGCTTCCAAGTGTACTTCTGAGTGTACTTCCCACAGCAGTATGACATGCTGTGCATTGGAGGCCTTCCCTGAGACCTCTGCTATTACTGAAATAACAGCATTTGATGAAATCAGAATTTCATTCTCAACATTGTCCATGTACAAAATTGCACAGGTCATCCTGCCCTCTCTCAGTTTGCCTTCTGGCACTACACTGTATGTCAGAATGAGCTTCTTAGACTAATCATGTTACCTGTAATGTTCTGTGAGACAGTGCCATCAGTTTCCTTTTGTACTGGGCAATTTTTGCCATAGTTGTCGTTTGGTTTTTCTGCAGCTCACTGATATCTTCTGATATTATCTGCAGAGGATGTGGAGTCAGTTAGAAACCATAAGAGTTTTTGATAACAGAACACATTAGTCCCGATTTGAAATGGGGAGTTTCAAAGATGCTTTCAGAAAGCTTTTGCTTTTTACGGCTCTGCTTTCTATTTATTTTCATATGCAACTGGGATTTTCAGAAGGTATCAGAAAACTGGGCACCCGAATTAAGAGTCCATACCAGTGCAACTTAATTCAGCTAGTTTGAATTAGCCTGTAGCAACACAGAAAGCTTGAACCCGAAAAAAAACCCAAGCCAAACTGCACTGCTCAGTTTTGGCCAAAAGATATAATGAAGAAATATATGAAGAAATAGAGTCACAGCCCCATGCACATGGTTCCAGTTTTCAAAATAAGCATAGGGGGAGGCTCTTTAATAGCCCATCTTTCATCAACAGCAAGCAGTCATGATAAGATAAGAAACCTTACATCTAATCGAGTTTGATGCTGTTTGGTCATTTGATCTTGGACCTTCAATCTTCTCAATAGTTCCTTGAAACCCACCAATGGCACAGGAATGAGTCTGTAAGAATACAAATATCTCTTACAACACATTTTCATATTAAATAGGTGATGTGAATTAATAATCGTGAATATAATCTACTATGAAGTTACAGATCTTGGTTTATTACAAAATAAGACATATCTTGTTTTGCTATGTTCAAAAGTCCTCACTGTTTCTAACAACCCATTCCTTTTTCATAAAGAAATCAGCCTAAGTTATCTGTAATCACTGGAGGGTACAAGGGTACATCACTTTCAGCTGCAGGATTAAAGAGAAAAAAATATAATGGCTGCAAAAACTAAGTCACAATAACCAGTTCATATAATGGAGGACACAACAACTGGAAGTAATCCAAGTAAGGCTCTTGATCCTGACCTTAAGCACCTAAGCGGGTAAAGGGATTAGACTGGCACTTCTAGTAATCCTCACTGCTTCAAAAGAGATCAGCACTTGACAAAGTTATTCTCTAATTAGTTTCTTACAAGTTACCTGAACGGTACTAAACAATATTGTATATTTTTCACCTTTCTGTAATACTGATACAGACTATTAGACTTACTTGTCAGGGTCAGGATTGTCAACTTTGGCTTGTTCCCATATAATAGGATCAACACCTTAAAAAAACAGACAAGTTTTTAGCGTGGATAGATCTGAACAGATATCATATCTTACAGCTGTTACAAACCTTCTCAACTATGCTAACCTGAATGACTGTTATACAAATTAAGGTTCATTAAGTAAGTCTTGGTCGCAGACTGTGGCACTAAGTTCAGTCCAAAAGGCTGTCAATCACATCTACTGGTTTGAAAGCATAGGAAAGGAACAACCCACAGGTAATCAAATGGGTCAATCCGTATGTCAAGGTGAAAAGTTCCTGCTGATCCCACTGTATGCTACACCTGGGTCATCTTTCCTCTTCAGGTTCGTTATTGCATAAAATGAAATACCAAAAAATCAGTAATTAAGTGATCAAAGTACCAAACCAGTGGGAAAAGTAATCCCAGTAAGAATTATCATGGTTCCTAACAGGATTTATTTACGGATTTTATCTGTTGACAGAAGAGTTGTTTGCTTTGCCATTAACTGCTTCCCTGGGTAATTACATAAAGAAAAAGCAGTTTAACTGTGCATGTGCATTAGCATCATGATGCAAGATATTACTCTCCAAACCCCAGTGCAAATCACATCCATGTATGAAATGCACATACGTAGGCATGCTAGTTAAAAACAAACACAGAGATAGGGAAGCAACTGACTTTCTGACCAGAAAGACACGCCAAAAAGAAAAACAGAAATGGTGGTAATTTAACAATTTCAGGTCATCTTCAAGGAGACCAGAACAGTCAGCTACTACAACATTCTTCGCTGTACCACGCTCTAGGTCATTCCTTGTAAGAGCTCTTGCCTTTATACCAAAACTCTTGGGGTGTGCCTGCTTCTCCTGAGCTCAGCACTAACACCCCTCCTTGCCCACCCTACTGCTTGTAAGCCTACAACCTCAGCTTCCCTCTCAGTCACGGACTAGCAAGATGTGCCCAACCATCATTACACAGGCCCCATGATACACCTCCAACATTAAACAGCTAACTTGCTTGTGCACAGAGCAGTTACTACCCCGCACTGCAGCAGCTGGGAAACAGTGCAGCTTGTCTCTGTCCCGCAGTAGTAGGCCCAGTTCTTTTTGCCATCCAGATGCTATAACCTTTGCAGTGCTTTTAAACACTATGGTCTTATTGAACATGCTCCATACTGGCTGCTGGAAACCACAGGCTGCTTTTCCTGACCCCCTGCAGGGAATTCCCTTCAAGTATTACATGGGATACTGTATAGACACAGCATTAGCTACAATTATCCTCTGAAATTGCACAAATGGCACTTGCCTACTCTAAAACAAAGCTATGTACTACCTTTAGCCACATATATAGGCTAAGTGACCCC